AACATTCTTCATAAGTCTACCGACGCAACATAAAACGGTGGACAAATAGGATTGTTCAGGAGTTTACTGCATAGCATGCGGCAGCTGTGAACAGGAATATATTGGCGAAACTGGAAGAAATATCGGCATACGAATCAAAGGCTCTGCAGGAAAATGGATACTGAAAGAGCACAGTTAGTGGAACATACACTGATGATGTCCACTATCATGCCTGCCAAACGTCTGATATTGCATCGACTCCATGGTCTAATGCTGGGAATTGATAACTACTGTAACAGGACTTCGGACAAGGTGCATTCTACTAAGTCGCCCTGACAATAAAACCAAGTTGCCAAAAGGAGGTCAACCCACTTCCATAGTTTCTTATCTTCTATATTTTCAGTATCGAGATCACTTCACAGAATACCTTAGAATGGATTCCTTGAGTTCAATATAATCTTCTTGGTAGAAAACATGGCCATTTCTAATATCTAAGTAAAAACGTATCACTGTATTCATTTTTTTTTAATATTTCAAGACAGGAGTAGTAATTACGCCAAACTATGGCTATTTTGATCAACAGACCAGGGCATATCACTAGTCCTTCATGACTGCCTGAGCTCGCTTAATGTCTGAAAGCCATATTTTATAAAATCTTGTATACTTGCTCTAGCATACAGCTCAATTGTAAACTTGCCTAGATTGTGATCTGTAGTGTCTAGTTTGCTATCTTTGTGTTGATGAAAGCACACTAGACTGAGAACTAGATCAAGCATACGTGCTTCAGTCTATCATAGATTCTGATACATATTCTTTCTATCTTACTAATTAATGTGCTCATTCCCCATTAATAAAATAAAATGAGATTGCAGTCAGACCTACGTGTAATACTTAGGTATTAATTTTTATCATTATTACAACTCTGCAGCCACATTTTCGCTATATCTTGCCTATGTTTATTCATTCTTTCTTGGTTTTGCATTTGGCTCTTACTCTAACTAGTTTTATCGGAACATCTTTAGTTTTGATACTGAAATTTAAAAAGTTTATACTCCTTATTTAACGAGATGAGCCTTAATTATTTTGCGTGATAAGTTATATAATTAGCCATTCATATTATTTTGTCTAACTTGTCATTATAAGCCTAATTATACCATATAAATACGCTTATAAATACTCATATTTCTAGAGTTTACTACTGCGTACATAAACTTATTTCATATATATATATATCTAAGTCCAATAAAGTCAATAGTGACGACTTGCTTTCTTTTATTCATTTGGTACTTGGTAGGTTTGCTCTGCCGACTTTTGTTCACAGAATCTATCTGACAGCAATTTATCCCAAGAACTTGCATGCCAAGCGCAGGTAGACCGGGCACTACAAGAAGGATGCAGTCCTGTGATCGTAGACAACACAAACATTCAGGCGTGGGAATTTCGTACTTACATCGAAATGGCCAGGAAAGCCGACTACATCGTGATGCTAGTCACTCCACAGACGCCGTGGCGCTTTGATACGAGTGAATGTGCTGCCCGAAACTGTCACGACGTATCTTTGGATGTTTGCGAATCTAAAATACGCAGATTTGAGTCTGTTTATCCTCTTTATTACGCTTGGTTCTGGCCAGGCAGGCAAAGCGCCCACGCTTCTGCCAACAGTGGCTTAGCCGCCTACCCGGTGGACGAGGCTAGCCGCTTGCTTTCCTGGGCTTGGAATACATTTGACGAGCTTCTACGTCTTCCAATTTTTCAGGAGGATTTTCGGCGCCTCTTCGAATTGTCTTCGGGTATTAAAGCGCAGATAGCTTTAAATTTATGATAATGGTTACATTTTCACACATTTGATTCTGACCTTGCGGGTCCCTTAGAGACTTTTTTGAAGTTTATTCCAAAAGTATCATTCTATTTTTGGAAGAGATATACCTATCTGCCGGTTATTTTTTTTGCGTCTACATGAAATCCGTCAAACTGATTATTTTGTGACATGATTTTCTATTTCGAAGGAAAAGTTGGCTAGAAGGTATTCATGATGTGGTCGCACTGGAAACCGAAGGAGGATTGCCGCATGTGGAAGACTGTTGTAGTGTGTAAAGAAGTCCTCGGCTCACCATCTCACGACGCCGATAAACCTGTGCTGAGCTTACTTCTGTACTTTGCCAGATATCATCAGAGCAGGAAATAGAGCAAAAATATGTTAAACCAAGAGAAAAGATCTCACCTATTAGTAGATGCTGAAGTCACAATAAAAGGATGCAAATACTGCAAATTTGTATTGGAAAGGTCTGATTCACATTCTGGATCGCATCTGTTCTCTCACCAACTGGAAGTCGGGCGTAGTGGTTGAGTGGTAATTTTTCTCTCTTCAATTGCACGACTCGGTATCTAATACCTTTGAGGGTGCTGAAGGGACCTAGATGAGGCTATAACCACAGTGCCGCCTTGATAAGGAAGCATCTTGCTAGGCAAGTCTAAATGAAATTCAATGAGACTTAACTGTGGAAAACTCAATTATCGGACGCTGTATCATTTAAACTATCTAAATTTACTATGATTCTTATAAGCATCACTACCCTATTTTGCCATTAGCACAGACACTCTTAATTACCTAGATTCCCTTTCATATCCTTATATTTCTCACCTAATTTCCTTAATTCCTTTTTTTCTACTTAATTTCTGGTCAGAGGCTAATCTTGACCAACTGGCACGATGTTGGCGTCCAACTGTTGACACGATCCCCAGCTCTGAAGATAGCTACATGAAACACGCGAATTTTAAATCAAAATTAATCCATTCGGCACCAACTTTGACGACCCGACTTCACGTGACGACGCACTTTTCTCGCTTCGGACGCGAACCAGGTTCTCTTGATTACGCACACAGTGGCCCTGTAGAGCGCGCCTTGTTAGGTCAATTGACCACTGCTAAAGTGACTAGCATCCTCGTTACTTGTCGCACTATTTGTGTAAAGGTCAGTCTTAATGGCCTTAACGATGGCGGAAGTAATGATACAAGTAAGGAGTCTACGTTAGAGAGATTACTATGGATGAGCGATGACCAAGAGGTGGTTAACAGAAGCCTGGATCCTGAGTCTCGACACCAAGCCCGGCCAATCAACTCTAGTGGGGGCCGATGTGCCCAGAGTAAGTGATTCTCATGCTTTCCTTAGTATCCACATAAGCCTTATGCTCGCACTCATTGGTTTTTACAAATTGGAATTCACATTATAGATAGTTTTTTATAGCCGGATTTTGGCAGAATTCATAAGATGAAGACATTGGAATTGCAGTTGCTCAAATATCGAGTTATTCTCCTTTAACCTTTCTCACAATCTATGCTTAGCTGAACCTAGTTGTATCCTAAAAGTAGAACATCCGACATCTGACTAATGCATAGACTATATAGTCTATATATATATATATGAGGTGTAATCACCCTATTTAATTGAGTGTGATAAGGGGATGGGAGTTGAATTTTACCCCTTTGCTATAGGTAGATTCTACTTTTCCGTTGAATTTCATATAGCCTTGCCTTGCAAAAAAGTATTCTCATCCATAGTGGACTGCGGTTTCCATCTCGCCTAGGCACCCCTAGTAGTGGTTATCGTGTCGAGATTATACGCTGCACTGTCATGGTTTGACTCTCGCTTGGAGTGGTGACAAGATTTATCTGAAGTCAAAACTGCAGTCCACTTCAGTCTGAATAAGAACACCTTTTTGGAAAGCAAGGCTATGTTAAACTCAATAGAAACGTTAAGTCTGCGCATATCATTATGGGTAAATTCAACCACTAATCCCCTTATCACCTTAAACGTAGTAGAGTATATACACCTCATATATATGATATAGTTGTCTCGAAAACCTACTTATAAACGAAAAATAATGCATAGACTACAGGATTCAGATACTTTTTATTTTTAGCTCTGGATTACTGTATTTTATACTTGTCTCATTCACCTCAGTTGTTCCAGAGCTTGGCCATTAGTCAAAGATACTCATCTCTTACGATACTTGCATGTAACCACCCAAAGGCTTGATCATGTAATTCAAGACCGTCTTTATTCTTACAGATAACTTTAATTGCTTTTTGAGATTGTGCTTTGCGCACATTTATCTTCTCTGTCCAGCATGATCGCTTACTCATGCTAATTTCAAGGCAAGACTGGCTTCTTACGCTTCATGTTTGCAGTGAGGATAATTTTTGATAAATCATACTTTATGCATACTCAAATTATTGTCGCTTTTATTCTAAAGTCTTCATTCTAGACTCATCCTTTCCAAACTACATTTTACTTCTTTTTATTTGTGTCTATTAAGCTATATCTTTCCATTATTATTTTCCTCTTTATCGTTTAAAGATTCTTACACATTCTAGTCAGTTGTCCCATTTATGTGAAAATTATTTAGGTAAGATTTTTTCCACATCCATAATTTCAATTTTGCTTCATTTTTACAAATTCCACTTCATAAATCGAAGGTATGAAGACCAAGATGGTGTT